TATTTATCTCTATTTATCTCCCTTCTTAACTTCTTCCTCTGTCTTCTGACCACTTCTCTTTTGCTCTTTTACCCCTTCCGGCCTCCCTGGCCTGATCATTACTTCCTCCCATTTCAGTTCCCTTGTCACCACTGAAGGGACTTCCTTGGGCTTTACTTGGTCCTCTTTCTCCCTTCCATATCCTGTGATGTTGGCCATCAACCACCACTCTACCTTCCCCTGGGCTCTTCATTGTTGAGACGGTGAATCCCAGAGATTTAATTTAAAGTTAGAGAATGCTGACAAGAGATCATTTTGCTTAGCCCCATCATTTTGTAGTAAATTCTGCCAATGTCCTATGTGTGATCAAAGCATTATAATATCATAGAGTTGGAAGAGACCTTACGGGACATCTAATTCAACCCTCTCATCTTACAGATGAGGAAACTGAGACTCAGGAAAATGGAGTGACTTGCCCGGGGTCACAATTGATGCTCAGCTTGATTCCATCCAAGTTAAGATATAGCTAGAAAGAGTCATGGGCAGCTGTTAGACCCCCATGGTCATAAAGGAACATAAACCAAATAACCACCCCAAATGCCCTTCCTTGGGGAATGTTCTGTCTCTAAATCAAAGCGTAGGCCTGGACATGGGTCTGGACTGGGCTGGCCTCTCTGAATGACTACGTAGCTAGAATGGAAAAGCCATAAACTGGGTTGGAGCTCCTGCATACAGGGGGCACCCTGGTGATGGAGGACAAGTCAATGGTACCTATAAGGAGGAAAACTAAAGAAGGTGGGGAAAGATGAAAGTGTTGGGTTAAGGGTGGAGTTGAGGGGGGGACACACTGAATAACAGACTTAAATTTCTGGAGGGGGTTAGTATTCAGGTGACAGAATCAAGACCACACGTTTCTGCAGCAAAAGGGATTCAGGAATAAAAGGGAAAAAAAATCTGTCCAAAACCTGTTGATATTCTAACACATTACTCAGGAAGGCCATGGAATCTCCTTCCTTGGATGTCTGTTGCCTTTAAATTTCAGTGGTTCTGGCTAAGGGGAAAAACTGCCCTACTTATGGGGCAGTGATAGACAGGGTAGAGAGTAGACAAAAGAAACCTCCCAGATTCTCCACTAAAAGTGGGGTAAGGAACTTCAATATTCCCCCATGCTGGGTGGCTTGTTTTTGTTTATTTAGTCATTTTCAGTTATTTCTGACTCTTCATGACCCCATTTGGGGCTTCCTTGGCAAAGATATTGGAGTGGTTTGCCATTTCCTTCGTCAGCTCATTTTACAGATGAGGAAACCGAGGTAAACTGGGTTAAGTGACTTTCCCAGGTCATATAGCTAATAAGTCTCTGAGGCTGGATTCTAACCCAGGTCTTCCTGACTCCAGACTGGGTACTCTATCTACTGTGCCACCTTGCTGCCCATTATGGGTACAATTTCTTGTTACGTGTTATCTTACCCCATAAGCTTCTGGAGGGCAGGGATTGTCCTCCGTTTCTTTGTAACCCCAGCACTTAGCACAGTGTCTGGCACACCAGTAGGTGCTTAATAAATGTTTAACGACTAACTCAGGGTGATGTGTAATGGGCCCTGCTAACCAGAGGCACCTAACAATCCTGAAGGCAGATTTTCAGGATAGAGGTAACTGGGGTTTTGTGGGTACAGGCTTGAATGGGACTGTGGAATAGTCAGGACGAAAGGAGTTATGCTGTGGCTCTCCCTGCCTGCCTGGGTTGGAGGTAGGGGTGGGTGGTGAGTGGTGGTGGTGGTGGTTCTAGCCCAGCCACCTGAGGAAAGCTTAGAACTCTGTGCAATGGGGAGAAGAGAGAACTAGGCTGGGAAACAGGTTGACTTGACTTGCAGTGACTGATCAGACGGCCAGGAATTAGTCCCCAGGCACCCCTTTGATGGAGCGGTGAGAGTCACAAGGGCTCCAGCTCTTCCTAGTAAATTGGCCCTGGGGATCCAGAGAGGCGGAAGGTGGGTGGGACATAAACACTCCTTCCATCCAATCATTCTACAGCTCAATTCATCTCTAAGGCTTCATTGTTCTCACCTGTAAAATGAAGGGGTTGGACTAGGGGGTCTCTGAGCTTCCTTCCAGTTCTAGGTTCATGATTCTATGCTGGATTCTTTTCTTTTACCCCTTTAGCCACAACCTCAGAGAACTCCTTTCTCCAGGGTCAAGTACAAACTTCTTTGTTTGGCATTTAAAATCCTTCACAATTTGGCTTCTACCTATTTTTCCGGGTTTATTACATGTTAAAGCACTGTATGATTCAACTAAACAGGCTTTCTTGCAGAATTCTAACAAATGCCGCTCCATTTCCCATCTCCATCTCTCTGCACTAGGAATGCACTCCCTCCTCATCTCTGCCTCCTAAAATCCACAGAGCTTGAGAGCCGTCTCCTCCGTGAGGCTCTCCTGGATTTCTCCAGCTGCTAGTACTTCCTACCCCTGAAATGGACTTGTATACACTTATATGCTGACTTACTGGATGGAATATAAGTTCCTTGAGGCTGAGAATTATTTCATTTGGGGGATTGTTATATCATATATTATATCACCATGGGGATTATTTTATTTTTGGCTTGGCAACTCCAGTGCCTAGCACAGTGCCGGATGTTTAAAAAGCCTCCCTCTTGGATGTCTCAAGTAGGCAAAGACTTTCAAGGATCATTGGTTGGGTCCATCACAGCCTGATAGACCTGTTCCAGGCATGGACAGAAGGAAGGAGATCGTGCAGCCTATGGTCACTTAGGCGGCAGCTTTCTGCTGGGCAGTTGCCTTTCTAGATGACATTGGCATACCCCTTGCTAACTACTACCCCCACAGCCTTAAGCAGTAGTTCTTCAACTTAAGTGTCTGACAGGGACAGCCAGCCAGTGCTCCAGTGGAGGAAGGAGGGTATTCGGGGGAGCTTCTCTCCTGTGTCCTGGGTGGGAGTGGACCGACTCTGACTCTACAGGGATTGGGGGCAGGGGAGATACAGCCCCTAGGCCCCGAGAGGAAGTGACTGAAGAGCTTTCTAACTGTCTCCTTTCAAAGCCGCCAGAGGAAATGGGGCAGGAAGATGCTGGCTACACGTCCCAGCATGAACAAGGGGAGGGTGCAGGGTGGGGGGGGGGGCCATGTGCGCTGAGCCTGAGTTTGGAACTTGCTAGCCTGGCTCGCCTCTTCTGAAGCTCCACAATCTCTACTCGGGCCCCTACTAGTCCCTGGCCCATACCCGGGTGGGGGGGTTTGTTGGAGCTGTCCCACACTTAATAGGAGCCTCCCACCAGGATATCATATCGGCCTGTCCAGTCGTGGCTCCCAAGCTCCTTTGGAAGGGCTCTGGGCACCTGTACTGCCAGGCTGGTGCTCTCCGGGGGCAGGGCAGGAGCAAGCCCGGCTGGAGGTAGGGGCAGTGAGAGACACCTCTCCCCTGGCTTCTAGTCCCTTCCTCCCACCCTGCACCCCCGGGGGAGCCTCTGGCTCACCTTGAGCTGGGACTTGGAGACCTTGCCGCTCTTCTCCACATCCAGGGCTGTGAAGGCATACCAGATGGATTTGAGCAGTTCTTTACGGAGGGCCATGGCCGAGAAGCCTGGGACTCGGAGGCTGCTCTGACACCCAGGAGATCCGGTTTCAGGAAATGCAAACAGCTTTGGAGACCGCAGAGGGGCCATACTACAGAGCACTAGCTCCACCTGCCTGCTCTGAAGTACTCTAGGTTCCTCCTCGAAAGGGAGAGGGGGTGGGTATCCAAGATGAATAGGGACTGGCCTTATTTACTCGCCCAGCCCCTGAAAGCACAGTTCTCACCAGGACTCCTTTGGCCTAAAGCGCTGATGGGGGTGGTTCCAAAGATCACTCTAGTAACTGAACCACTCTTTGCTTCGTGGAAACTTCTTGGTGATGGGGTGGAGGAAGGGGTAGATGTTTGTCCCCAGAAGTTACTTTGGTAAACCTCTGAATTCAGTGCCACCACTGTAGAGCTTTTACCTCTTCTCAGGTAGGGGTAGGGTAGAAGCAAATGAGGAAATTGGTGTAAAGTAGGGGCAACATTGTCCCTCCGTCTTTTATTCCTATTTAATTATTGAAACCCTTTCCCTTTTCCCAGCCTCCCCTCCCAACCCCCTACAATGTGTTTCTCCAGGGAATTTAGGGCATGATCCCACCCAAACCTCATCAGATCTTAACCCAGCAGGTCCCCCCGATCCATACAGGAGAGACATCTAATCCAACTTCGGGGAATCAGACTCCCGAGGGGCATCAGGGATCACAGATCTCCAGATGCTTCCAAGAAGCTGGAGAAAGGGCAGGGCTCCCCAAGTGCAAAGCTCAATTTGTTTAATTATCGTTTGCTGTGGAGGAAGAGGGCCATTCCCATCCCTACAGTATTCTCCTTGGGCATTTCTAGCCACACATACAAACCCAGGGAGGTATATACTGTAAGTATGGTTACCATTTATAGATGAATGAAGAAGCTCAACTTCAGGAGGGATTAAATAATCTGTTCAGTGTCACCCAGTTGGTGGGGACTCAGACCTAGGTGATGTTGTTGGACAGCCAGTCCAGCGCTACCTCCATGACACCATGTAAAAGGCTTGTTCCTGGCCACAGGGCATTGCCAGCTAGGGCCAGTCATGATGCACAATGAGGAAGTCTCACGGTGAAAGCTCTCAGCAAAGAGATGAACATGGGGTTGAAATTCTCCTGGAGTTTGGAAGCTGTGGGTAGCAAAAGCAGCCTGGTATTCTTGAGAAAGGCAGAGGGGCTGAGAAGATGGGACCTAAATGCATTCCCTCTGCCTAGCCAGTGTGATATGATCTACTACCCTACACCACAACAGGCCAAATGTTATGTACCAATTTGTTTTCTTACCCTCACCGCAGCCCCAGTATTTCATCCTAGTCACAGATAAAGAAACACAGGGCTCTCTTTGCTTCAAGTGAGGGCTCAGAGTTACTGAAGTCAGTGTCTTGCAGCTAGTTTCTATCACAAAAGAAGGATGACTGACCCATATGGAAATTTGGGACTTTTATTAAATAAGCATCCACCCACTCGCCACCATCACCCTTAGCAGAAAAAAAATTATAAAAATTGAATTAAAAAACAAACAAAACCACTCACACACACAAATCCCAAACCCAGCAATCTAAGTGCAGGGACCACTCTTTGCTCCAGCCACAGTATGAATGGCTGAGAGTGGGCTGAGGGAGACTGCTTCTTTCCTCCTGTCTGCCATAGCCCCCTCAGGAAATTCTTGCCGTTTGCCTGGACATCTCGGCTCCCCTCTGCCATAGTTATTGCTGTATGTGGCTAGAGGGGCTCCAGAACATCCTCTGGTGGAGCCAGGTGCTCCCCTCTCCCCTGCCTCTGCTGGGGCCTCCCACATAGTGGGAAGCAACTACCTGAGGGCAGAAGGCCAGCCCCCAAGGCATCCTTGACCTCTACTCACTGTCCCAAGGAAAGGGGTAAGGGGCAACAGGGTGTTCTCATGAGGAAGAGGAGCACCCAGGCAGGCTTCAGTGGGAGTCCCAGGGCAGTCTAGTGACCCACTGGGTCCTTCTCATCTTCTGAGGATGTCTAGAACTCCTCCATTTTGGCTGCCACCCTTATTGATGGCAAAACCATTCCCTTTCCCCCAACTATGCTGCTGTCAACGCTGCTTCCTCTGGCTCAGCGACCTCTACGTGGCCACCTTCCATGGCTCATCCACAGCCTGGATGCTTGGAGACAGTGAGGCCTGTACCATATGGCATCTTCTTCGCCACTGTGTGGGACCCAGCTTGCTCTAGGGTCTCAACAGCCACTCTCTGATATAGATGTCTCCAGGGTCACAGCCCCCTGCTGCATGGCGGCGGTAGCCATACTAATGGCCTCCTCCAAAGTCTGCTGCTCCTCCAGCTACAAGGGAGTGAGAGAGAGAGAGAGAGAAAAAGAATGTGACTCACTGTAGGCAAGAAGCAGGCTTTTTGTACCCTCCAAAGCCTACCACGGCACTAGCTGTGTCTCAAGCACTCAACAAAGTCAATAAATGCCAGCTGGATGGTTGACACACAGGAGAGTAAACATGGTCAAGGAGATGTGGAGGGTAACAGGCCTGGGTCATTTCCCAGGAGAAAAGGAGCCAAAGTCATAGCACAGAACTCTGCAGCTAGATAGGACCTCAGAGATGATCTAATCTCTTCCTCTTCTCCAACTCTGATGAGATTACAAAGCAAACACTCAAGAGAGTAGACATCTCCAAGGTGACACAGCTACTCTGTCCAGCAGAAGTTAGACTAGCTGGTGTCTGAAGTCTGTAATTCAGTGAATCACATGCAGGCTGAGGCCTCCTGATGTCACCCAGTGTCTTTCCTACCGACGCCAATAGCACGTTACCACTCCAGACTGAGGAGAAGAAGCTGCAGGGATAGGAAGCAGCTGTGGCACAGTGCACAGAGCACTCAATTTGGAGTCAGAAAGCCTGGGCTGTGATACCAAACGTCAGGTAAAAAAACTCTGTTCTGAGGCTTAGTCACCGCATTCGTAAAATGGGAAGAATAAAATTTGCATTAACCATCTCACAGAGCTTTCTGGATCAGCAAATAAAATAAGGCATGTAAGTTCTTTGTAAACAGGACATACAACTGTTCTCTGAGAGGTCAAGCTTATCAGAAGGGGGCATGAAAAAGATACGAAGAATAATGATGAATAATGCTACAGAAAGCAGGCATGAAGCTTCTGGGGAGGATCTGAGAGTATGGAAATGGGAATGGGTACATCACATTTGGTACTCTGTTCACAAACCCAGCTGAAGAGATCCTAGGATGCTTTATAATCCTACTCTGGTCTGAGAGAAATCACAGAATCAGTTCTCTTGAAATAGGTTCTTTCTAAAAATCGATTTCACATTTGTTTTCTCCTCTGGACTCCCGTAATATCCTGCTCCTCGTCCTGCTTCCCTGCAGTTTACACACCTGCACTGCAATGTGAGTTCCATTGGCCGTGGCCAGCAGTGCCACCTGCTGGTGATGAAGGGATGCTACAGCTGAATCCTCAGTCACCATGGCCCCGGAGGTTATGATGGTAACCTGAAATACAGAAAGGCCTTCTGTTTCTTTTTGGTTGTCCAATCATATTTCCAGGCATCCTGGAATAAGGGTCTTATAGAGACCAAGGAAAGAACAGAGAAGACTATTAGGAATCAGAAGCTAATTAGCCTGAGGTTCAGGGCTAAGTGAGAATGGTCTTTCTCCAGAGTCTAACCTGGCCCACGGGTTTAGCATCATAGAATTTTAGAACATTAAAGAACCTTGGAGCTCATTTAGTCCCACCTCCCACAGCCACATTTTATAGAGTACGAAAACGAAGCCCAGAGAGGAAAGACCCCACAGTAGGTGACTGGGACTAATGGTCTCCTGGCTCCAGATCCATTAGTCTTTAAGAGGATACTGGTATCGACTTAAGGAATACCTTTTGAGGGGGAGAAAGCATTGTGAGAGCAGTAAGAGGTATTGAGTAACTCTTGCTATGGTTGAATGCCTCTACTGAGAAGGACAGAGAGAGAACAGAAACCCTTGGTCATACTGGCTGCGTCTCGGTGCCGTCGGCGCTGACCATGGTGACAGTATGTGTGCTGGAGGTGCCGAGGTCTTCAGGGCTGGGAATGGTGAGGGCTGTGCCACCATGATGGGTCACCATACTGATGGCACTTCCTAGGGCCTGCAAGTCTTCAGGGGACAGACTGACCTGTAGGTGAGAGGTTTGAAGAAAGAGAAGATTGTCCTGGCTATGAGTCAAACCCCTGGATGCCCCTTGTTAGCTGTTTATCAAACCTTTCCTGTACGGATGATAAGGACATAACATGAGCCTGCTCTGTTCATAATTCAACAAATATTTATTAAAGTACTTCTTGACAAAGTACTGTGCTAGGTGCTGAGGGAGATACACAAATGGAAAAGGATACAATCCCTGTTGTCCAGGAGATTATATGCTAGTCACTGAGGACCAAATGAGGCTGATTTAGGATGGACGACTATGGCAGAGCTAGGGATTGTGATAGAAAGAATACTGAATTTGGGCATCAGAAGACACGGGCTCCTCTACTCACTCTCTGTATAATTTTGGGCAAGTCACTGTCCCTCTCTGAGGCTCAGTTTCCTCATCTGTAAAATGAGGAGGGTGGATTAGATCATCTCTAATGACTAAGGTCTGTGATCTTAGATCCACCTCTAAATCTTACGATCCTGTAAATACCACCAATATTAACAACTTGCATTTGCACAATGCCACATGCACAGTATATGACTGAATCTTCATAATAATTGCATTAAGAGAGGCAGCTAGGTGGGGCAGTGGCTAGAGCACCGGCCCTGAAGTTGGTAGGACCTCAGTTCAAATCTGGCCTCAGACCAAACACTGGACACTTACTAGGTGTGTGACCCTGGGCAAGTCACTTAAACCCCAGTTGCCTAAAAAACAAAAACAAAAACAAAAAAGAGACCTGGCCAGGCTACTCTTTGGGGATTGTGCAGCCCTAACTTCTGCTGCCTCCTACAAGTCTGTGAAGGTGTAAAATTTGGGAGGCTGGGAGCTGTTACAGACACACAAACATACATCCTGTTGACGACAACCATGTGATTTTGTCGGCAGTAGGGGATCTCCTCCCTCTACCCTGAGCTCTAGAGCCCATACCTGTTGGGTACCATCCTGGGTGATCAGCGCCACCTGGGGAGCCCCATCCTCCTCTGTCACCATGGTCACCTGTGCTGGGATGTCCCCCTCCTCTTTCACCTCTGATAGGAAAGTGATGTGAGACCTTTTGGGCGGGGGGGCTCTCCTCAGCTGCAGAAGCAGCTGGGGGAGGGGGGAGAGGCACAGGTTAGTTCCTGGTCAGCACACCAAAGCTTGATATTTCCGTCTCCCCTGAGCATCCTGGCCCTGCCTCCGGGGGTGCTGGTGCCAGGGGTGTGTGGGGAGCCCCCTGCCCCTCACCTTCCAGCTGCTGCTGCTCATAAAGGGCCTGCTCGCTCTCCTCGGTGGCCTCTAGCTCACCATGGGCGCTGCGCTTGTGCATGGCCAGGGTGGAGGTCTGCCGATAGGTCTTGCCACAGCTGCTGCAGGTGTAGGGCTTGCAGTGTGTGTGCACCACGTGGTGCTTGTACAGGCTTGAGTACTCAGTGAAGCGCTTGCCGCAGCCCGGAACAGTACAGACGTACGGCTTCTCCCCTGGGGACACTGGGCTGTGAGGGGGGTGGGGACTAGGGCTGGCAAGGGGGGAACTAGGGGGACAGAGAGGGGGAGGATGGGGCTGGTGAGTGAGGAACTGGGGGGACACAGGTGGTGAGAAGAGAACTAGGGGGACCGAGCAAGGAGACAGGACTGTGAGAAGAGAGCTACGGGGACAAAGGGTGGAGGGATGGGGCTGTGAATGGGGACACAGGACCTGGTCCAGGGTGCTAGAGTAGGTGGGACAGAGGGAGAGATGTAGCCATCAAGTGGAACATGGGATAAATGCTTGCTTGTGCACTTGACATGAGGGTGAGAGAGGATGTGCACTGAGGGGACAACATGAAGCCAATGAAGTGGAGGGTATACAAAGTTCTGGGAAAGTGACATGCAAGGCTAAGGGTGTGGGCCCTGAAACCAGGAGATGGGGAAAATAATGTGAGGGGGATGGTATGTACAAGAGTTCCATGGCAGGTGGATGGGGAGAGGACAAGGGGAACATTACAATCTACCTTTCCCCCACCTGTTCCCATCTTAGATTCTCTTCTGGGCTATAGCTAGAGAGGGAAAAACTCGGTATAGGTAGTAGAGGAGAAGGGAACTGAGAGCTACCTTTGTGGGACCTGGGTCTGCCAACTCAGGCAGAGTAAGGAGGCCCATTAACAACAACAAAAAAAGCCAAAGTCAAGGTGCTGATTGGGCCAGAACACTAACCTTCCTGCCCATCATGGAGTACCCAACAGGGAAAGGCTGTCAGATCATGAAAGAACAAAACTGCCTAAGTCAGGAGTAGCTGGAGTCCCTGGAAATGGGGACAGGGCAAGGAAGGGTCCTAGGCTAGAGCTAGGGAAGGTTCTGGGGTGCCAGCTGTCCCACCTGTGTGAATGCGCACGTGGTTCTTGTAGTTGGTGGCACTGGTGAAGCCACGGCCACAGTGGGGCTCCGGGCAGGTGTAGGGCCTCTCCCCCGTGTGAGTGCGGACATGTACCTTTCGGATGTTAGATGTAGTGAAAGATCGGCCACAGCCCTCAAAGGGACACCGGAATGGGCGTTCACCTGTAGGAGACCAGGACAGATGAGGGCAGTATGGGAGACCTGTGCAGAGGTAGGCAGAGGGGACCATGATGGAAACGTTTTGTGCCCAAGGCTCCCAGCACAAGAGTGCTCTGTGTTTGAGGAGATGGTAAGAGTTGGGATGGGGGTAGCTTTCTTTGAGAATGTAATCATGCTTGGAAGGAATGGGGAAACATGAAGGAGGAAATTATAGGCTGCTGTGTCAGAGAGCAGAGAGGACTAAAATGACAGTAGAAGGCAGAAGGCCCACCAGTGTGGGTGCGGACATGCTTCTGTAGGTCTCCTGATGTCTTGAAGGCCTTGTTGCACAGTTCCTCTGGGCATTTGTATGGCTTCTCACCAGTATGGGTACGCACGTGGCTCTTCAGACCATAACCTGTGGGAGGGGAAAAGTGGGTATCTATTGGGACTTGGAGCACTAACCTCTCATAGATATTTCCTCCACCACCCCTCTTCCCTTCTCAACATGGACATAATTATCCACTCCACAGGCCCAAGATCTTTAGGTGCTCCTAGCTCCAGCTTTCCCTAACCTCAAGTTTGGCCCTTTTGAGTTCTTGACCTTTGCTCCCTCAACTTGAGAGGCCTATGCCTTCTCCAATCTGTTCTAAATCAGAGTCACAAAGGGATTACAGGGGACATCCTACCTTCCTCCTCTCAGGCCAATCTGAACCATTTTCAGAATTACAGAGTTGGGCGAGATCTTAGAGATAATCTCAGCCCCATGGTCCTGATTTCCTAGATAAGGAAACTGAGGCTCAGAGAAGTGATTTCTCTAAAGTAATAGAGCTAGAATGTGGCATGTGCAAGATGAGGACCTAGTTCTCTTGATTCTTAATATATCATTCTTTCTAATAGACTATGCTACCCCTTATTTCTGAGAAGAGGAATCCTCCAACCAAAAAAGCCCCACCAGGTGAAAGTTTATTTTTAGATAAGTCCTGATCTTGGACTAGGGTAGCTAGGTGGTGCAGGAGATATGCAGAGACTGGAGTCAGGAAGAGTTGAGTTCAAATCCAGCCTCAGACACTTACTAGCTGTATGACCCAGGGCAATTCATTAATCCTGTTTGCCTCAGTTTCTTCATCTGTAATGTGAGCTGGAGAAGGATATGGCACACTACTCCAGTATCTTTGCCAAGAAAACCCCAAATATAGTCACAAAGAGTCAGATATGACTAAAATGACTGAACAATAACAAGTAGCATCTTGTATTTCCCCCAGTTCTTCTCAAGTGACCTCGTCATGCTGCTCCCCGCCCCCATCTCCTCTCAGCCCCACCCTGATTGTTTTACCTGTGGCAAAGGCCTTTCCACAGCTGGCAAAGTCACACCTGTACGGCCGATCACCTGTGTGGGCTCGTTCATGTACCTGGGAGGTCAAGAGAGAAGTGGGATTCAGAGGGATGTAACCAGTGACCTGGGCTGCTCTGTTCCTCCTTAGGGCCCAGGGCACCAGAACCCAAGCTCCCTGCCTGCCTTTCAATTTTTTTTCTTTATATTTGTACATTTCCACCCTTCCCCACCCCTCTCCCGCCAGCTACCACTAGGAGCAAAAGGTTTTCAACTGACATAATAATGAGACTGCTCCACCTGAGGGAGGAATCAGATAAGTACCCCTGTAAATTCATAGCTCCACTTTGCATCCATAGCCTGGTTTCACAGGTTTCAACTCCCCCCAAAAAGATGCCCCTCCCAGGATAAACTCATCATTTCTAATCTCATCACCCAGTTGCCAACTCCAGCCTTAGATACTACCTCCCTCAGCCTCCTCTCCCCTGGACTAGAAGGCTGAAAGGTAGAGTCCCAAACTCCTCCCACAGCCCTCCTTTATAGAGGGCAGAACTGGTCTTCCGGATCACTCTATTCTGCAAATGGAACTGCAGGGTTTCAACTCCACAGAACAAGATGTCCCCCAACTCCCCAGTCCTGAGTACCCCTCCCCCATTTATAGCTTTCTTTTCTTTGCTGTCTTCCCCCATTAGACTATAAGCTCTTCGAGGGTGGGGACTGTCTTTTTCTTCCTTCTTATTTGTATCCCCAGTGCTAACACAATGCCTGGCACATAGTAGGTGCTTAATAAATGTTGACTGAACTGAACTGAATATCCTATTTCAGACATGAGATATTTGGAATGGTGGTGTGGTACCACGTGGCACCATGGATGGAGTCCTAGAATTGGAGTCAGAAGACCTGCATTAAAACTCCAACTCTACTACTGATTGAAACCAAGAACCTCTCTTAGCTTTAGTTTCTTCACCTGAAAAATGGGGACAACTGCTTCACAGGGTAATTGTGCCACTGAAATGAGATAAAGTATGCCAAGTCCTTTGTAAGTAAAGCGCTATGGAAGTCTGAGCTATGGTTATCATCTCATCCCTTCTCCTGTCCCCAAAAGACAAAGATGATCTCTAGAGATGTCCAAGGAGGGCCAGGAGGGCACTGTATGGGCATTAAAGGAGAAGAGACACCTGTCAGCAAGGAGTCTGATAGACGCACACCAAAGCAGAGAATGGAAGGAAATGAGTGTCACAACCACACAAGCCATGGAGGCAGTAGCAAAGTAGATGATGATGTGTTGGACCTGAAGCCAGAAAGACTTTTGTTCAAATCCAGCCTCTGGACTTACTGGCTGTGTGGCCTTAGACAAATCACAACCTCCGTGAGCCTGTTTCTTTATCCACTGAAATGAAAATACAGATTAGGAGGGAAGTAGAAAACTGGGAAAGAATTTTTACAACCAGTGTCTCTGATAAGGGCCTCATTTCTAAAATATATAGAGAACTGAGTCAAATTTGTAAGAATACAAGTAATTCCCCAATTGATAAATGGTCAAAGGATAAAGAAATTAAAGCCATTTATAGTCACATGAAAAAATGCTCTAAATCACTATTGATTAGAGAAATGCAGATCAAAACAACTCTGAGGTACCACATCACACCTATCAGATTGGCCAACATGACAAAACAGGAAAATGATAAATGCTGAAGATGATGTGGGAAAATTGGAACGCTAATGTATTGTTGGTGGAGTTGTGAAATGATCTAACCATTTTGGAGAACAGTTTGGAACTATGCCCAAAGGGCTACAAACATGTACACACCCTTTGATTCAGCAATAGCACTTCCAGGGCTGTATCCCAAAGAGATCATAAAAATGGGAAAAGGACCCACATGTACAAAAATATTTATAGCAGCTCTTTCTGTGGTGGCAAAGAATTGGAAATTGAGAGGATGCCCATCAATTGGGGAATGGATGAACAAGTTGTGGTATATGAATGTAATGGAATACTATTGTGCTATAAGAAATGAACAGCAGGCTGACTTCAGAAAAACCTGGAAAGACTTGTATGGTCTGATGCTGAGTGAAGTGAGTAGAACCAGGAGAATGCTGTACACAGTAATAGCCCTGCTGTGCAATGACTAACACTGATAGACTTAATCCTTCTCAGCAATACAAGGATCTAAGATATCTTCAAAAGTCTCATGATGGAAAATGCTATCCATATCCAAAGAACAAATTATGGAGTTTGAATGCAGATCGAAGCATATTATTTGCTATTTTTTTCCTTCTGTTTTGTTTTGTTTTTTCTTTGTTGTGGTTCCTCTTATTGGTTCTAATTCTTCCTTACAACATGACTAATGTGAAAATATGTTTAATAGGAATGTATATGCATAGCCTATATCCAACTGCGCACCATCTTAGGGAGGGAGAGGGAGAAAAATTTAAAACTCAAAAGCTTATGGAAGAGGCAGCTAGGTGGTGCAGTGGCTAGAGCACTGGCCCTGGAGTCAGGAGGACCCGAGTTCAAATCTGACCTCAGACCAAACACTTGACACATACTAGCTGTGTAACTCTCCGCAAGTGACTTAACCCCAATTGCCTAAAAAAATTTAAAAAAAAAGCTTATGGAAGTGATTGTTGAAAAATCAAATTAAATTAAAAACATTTTTAAAAAGAAATAGAGAAATAACTCTAGTGCTCACCTCACAGGTTTATTGTGAAACTCAAATGAAATAATATATGTAAAGCATTTGGAAAACTTGAAGGTGCTATAGAAATGTCAGTTTTTAAGATCTTATTGATATATTTTATTTTTAAAATGACCTTCAGTTTCAAATATATCCCTCCTCAGAAAGTCATCTCTGAAACAAATAATAGAGGAAGGGAAAAAGCAGTTCAGCAAAACTAACCAATATATCAACTAAGTTTGACAGTGCATACAATGTTTCACACCCACAGTACTCCACCTCTGCAAAGAAGGGAGAGGCATTTTCCCTTTTCTCCTTGGAGGCCAGACTTGAGCATTAGAATTACAGTGTTCAGGTTCATTGCTAATGTCAGTTATTATTCACATTCACTTATTTACTCCATGGAAATCCAGAAGAGGTGTTTTCAAAAGATGTAAAAGATCTCAAGGCACCCTTATTTACAGCCATGCCTCTCAGTCTTTTGTAGACCACCTGACTCAAAGGAAAACCAGAACCAATGGGTGGACATTGCCAAAAGGCTGATTTGGGCTCAATGTGAAGAACTTTCTAATAAAATAACATTGCTCAAGAATATAATAGGTTGCTTCCAGAGAAGGTAAATTCCCTATCACTGCAGGTATTTAAGCAGAAGTTGGCTGGATAGTTGTCAGGGATGTCGTAGGAAGGATTCTTAATTGGGGTTGGGGGGGGGTTGGGACTGTAAAAAAAGAAGGCTATATGAGGTAGAGGAGTAAGGGGTACATTCTCTTTTATAGAAAAAAAATAAAACTACTGGCTCTTAGAGGCCAGCTAGGGCTAGAGAGGGCTCTCAGGCCCCTGGCAGCTCCCAATGCTAGAGGGCCCCTCTCAAGTGTCTCTTCTATCACCTCCAACGGAGACTTCTTTCTATGCACCCTGTGCCCCCAGCCTCCTGTTCCCACATTAGGCCCTTACCATCTTGAGTAGGGTCCTGAATAGCAAGGATGAACCAATGTGAGGGGTGCTCCACCCCATTTTGGCTAGACTGGAAGCACTGAGTTATAGCTCCAGCAATGGCACACAAATCTGCTGGCAGACTTACTTTCAAATGATGAGCGGTGGTGTAAAGGCGGCCACAGCCCTTGTACCCGCAGCGGAATGCTCTATCTCCAACCTGCTGCCCTTTGCCATTGTGAGGTGGCTGGTTATTGTGCAGGACCTGCAAAGGAAAACTGGAGATCGTCACTCCCACCCTCCTGCCTGAGGGGAGTGGAGGACAAACAGGGCAGAACAAATGAGCCAGCTGGCATGGTTCAGGCCTAAGACATGGGATTTGGCCTGCTAGGGAACCCTGGGTGAGGCAAAGGTCCTGTAAGGAGACAGATTGAAGCAGATCTGTTGTGGGGCATGCTACAAAAGAAAGGAGCAGCTACATTTACTCTGGGGTGGAAGGTGGATAAACATGGTAATTAAGGCAGAATAGACATGGAGGAGACCCATCCTCAGGCAGTCATGTAAGCTGCAAACTGTTGTCATGGCCATAGCTGGGTTAAGTGAGCTTTCTAGTCTCAGACTTCCAACTGAACAGCACATACCTGGGAAGCAGCAGACTCATCCACCTTCAGCTGGGAATGGACGCCCTCCTCCACATCAGACACCTGTGGTTGGAAGAAGCATGAATGTGGGTGCTTCCTATCTTCTACAGGTACACTAATTGACCCCAAAGCTTCTGAGAAAACCTAATACCAATAAATAAAAGTAATACCACCTCACATTTTAATAATACATTCAAAGCACTTAGTAAATCTTAAATGCTACAGAAAGTGTGTTAGCTTTTATATATTGGGAAAATAAGGCCCAGAAAGGAAAAATAACTTGCTTAAGGATACATAATTAATAGTAGCTGAGACTAGAACACAGGTCTCCTGATTCTCAGTCTAGGGTTCTTTCCACTGCACTAAAGAAAGGCACTTTTGCTCCCTGGGTCTTCAGACAAATGGGCAAATTAACCAGCCCCACAAGAGATATTATTTATTGATCTTCAGGGTACAGAATGAACCTTGTCTTTTTAAGTTCTTCTTACATAGATGTGATATGGTTGTGACTATTCTGATGTTCTAAAGTGTCATGGCTGCTTTAGAACATCTGACCTAATCCCTGCCCACTGAGACAACTTTCCCAAAGAGCTAAGAGAGAGAGAGAGAGAGAGAGCGAGCGAGCGAGCGCATGAAGGGAAAAGAAACAGGTCTGCTGACTTAAGTGGCCATCACAAAGAACATGATCATGAACCGTCTGTCTAGTCTCCTCAGACAACAGGACAGTTAAGCCACACAGCCCAAACCTTGCTGGATGCAACCTCCTTTGCAATCAGGGGACAAGGCAGTGTGCAAACAGCTGTTGACCAGCAATGACTAATCAGCTCATGCCCCCTGATGAGGGAAGCAGAAGGCCCTGGCAGAGGTTCCCAGGCCTGGTCTGCATGCTCACTCCCTTCAGTGCCCACCACCCCTCACTCCCCTGGAGGCTGGCGTGTCCTGCAGGAGAGGAGGGGAGGGGGGCGACAATGAAAGCTGCCATGGAGCCGAGTGGCTGGCTTTCCTCAGCTGCCAGCTATCATCTCACCTTGCTGGCATATTGCTCCAGGGCCACCACGGCATCTGCACTGAAGGCTTCATCCTCCTCTGCTGCCAGATCCTCCAGGCCCACTTCTGTCTGTACAGCCAGAACAGTACTGTCAGAGGGCATGGCCACTGGGTGGTGGATGTAGGCAGTGGAGCCATCTTCTAACTGGACAGCTTCCAGGGCATTAGGGTCATAGCCTTCTGTGGAGAAGGAAAAAAGGGGCACCATTGGGATGCAGTAGCAACCACTGCTTTAAGATCAGTATGCATTGACTCAGTTGGAAGGGTATCTTTCGCCTAGGAGGACTCTCCAAGGTCTATGGATGGCTTTCATCCTCCCTGGAGCTAAAGGACATAAGATTTCTTGGCCATAGGGGCATCATTAGATTGCCCCCTTCTCAGGACAAGGTCTCCTAAAGAATCTTGCTGGGTGAGTGAACATTGTTAGTGATTTGTAAACCTCACCTCCCTGGAGAACAATAATCCGACAACAAGCCAAAGGGAGTATAAAATCAGACCCTGTCCCCAGTCAGATATTCAGGGATACTGTTGTTTTGCAACAATAAAGACCTTGTGGGATCTTGCCACCCATTACGCCCACACTTACCCTAGCCCCCTGCAAACTCCTAGGAGTGAAGATAGTGTTTGGCTCTATATCACCCCCCTTTCCCTCCAGTCCCCCGCTGACATGCACCTTTGGGTGTGCGGTGTATATAGGCCATGCTACCATCTTCTAACTGTACAGGCTGTCCATCTTCAAAGGAAAGAGATTCTATAAAAGCAAACAAACAAACAAAAGAAATGTGACTGATGATTCCGTTGCCCTGGGTTTTTATTCACATCTACCTTCTGTGGCAGTTGTCTCTGGGCCTCAGAAAAGTCCAAGCTTTGGAGGTCTGTTCCAGGCTGTCCTAAGTACAAGGAAGGCCTTCCCTCACCTTTCTCGACTGTCACTTGATGGATATAGGCTGTGGTTCCATCCTCGAGCTGAATCACTTGCCCTTCAAGTAGCTTCTCTCCTGTAACAATGGAAATGAAGGAAAGTTGGTCAAATGTTGGGGATCTGTAAGGATGTAGAGGACCACAGGCTGTTCATGAGGTCTCACTGACGGGCGGAGGCCCCTTTCGGGTGCTGATCTCTGAGCAAAAGTCACCTGGTTCGGTGCTCCACTGTATGGATCTTTAACAATCTTTAACTCCCCTAGTTATTGTATGGTCATTAGCAGTCTATTCTGGGGATTGGAGTCAGGTAAGTGCACAGGACGTGCATGTGCTGTCCTTGAGCACAGCATGGGCTATACGTCATTGTAACTTGAGTAAGAGTTCCGTTATTTTACTATATAAGTACATGCTTTGCTAAAAATAAATGGAGTTGCTTCCATCCTGCCTCCCGCCTCATCAATACACATTCGAGATAGAAAATCAAGCTGGTCTTGATTCATCAGGTGATTGGGAAATCCTAGGCCCTAGGTAGGCTCTTATAGCCAAGTGAACTAGTTGTGCACAACAAATTGGCACCCAACGTAGGGCTGCACTGCTGCCGTGAAGAAGATACGGAGAGTAAGACAGCTGCATGAAACAGTCAGGAAATGTCTGGACCAAGAAGACGCGACACCCACATCAAGACACTGAGGTCTGTTGGAGCCAGGCAGCCTCCTTGTGAGAGGTCTCCGAATCGTATCCCGTGGCACAAAACTACGGAGAGGTAAGATAAAGTCTTACCATGAGGCAAAATCTAGGTAAACTCTCAGATAAGGAACAGAATGTTAGAGTAATATATAAAGCGATTAAGGAACAGGGGTGCTCGGTAACTCCTAAGAAAAGAAGAGAGTCTCTAGATATTATTGATATAAAATCTCCATGGCACCCCAGAGAAGGGAGTTTAGATTTAGAACAATGGAAAATAGTGGGAGAACAACCGACAGAATTTTATAACACCAAAGGCCCAAAATCAGTTCCTCTGTGTACTTTCACTATCTACAATCTTATAAAAATGGGCTTGTAGGAGCTGTGAGAACAAAGGAAGCTCCCGCCATGTGCCATGAGGAATTTCAAAAATCCCCAAGGGGAAGTAGAAAAGAAACGTGTAGTCACAGCACTATATTGTGGACGTTGTGGAGCATTACAAAGTGAAAAGGTTTCCTTTTATAAAAACCAAAACCTTAAGAAAGATTTTGCCTGGTTTTAGAATACCATGGAAAGAAAAGATAAAATAAAATAAAAATAGTATTATTTCATTTGTGCAGGGAATTTCTGACAAGTTTCTTGCCTTTGGATTCTCCCTGTCATTTTTTTCTGTGTTTGTCTGTGTCTGTGTGAATGATGGTCTGTGATTAATGTCTGTGATTTGTTTAATCTTTTACTGCCAGGCAGCCAAGGGCTTCAACTGGATTCTGAAATGCTGTTAGTGACTTTCTTCCCCCTCCCTAATACCAGCCATATTTCCCGGGAGTGGATGGATGGGGGAGAGAATGGGAGAAAAAGTACTTCATTATTTAGGTTACATAATTTGATAAAAGGCAAGAAAGTTTAAACATACAGGAATAAGAAAAGTATGGGTGGACAGAATAATATAATCTGTTTGCATGAATAGCAGGAATAGATGATTTGAGAGTAAAAGATTTGGAAACTTTTGGAGAAAAAATCCTCTTCCTTTTTTGCATTCTAAGGCTCTGGCCAAAGCTTTGGGTGTAAGATTGAAAGATTATGTTGAAAAATATTCTCTTCCTTTCTCTTGAATTCCAACCCTGGCCAGGTTGGGGTGGGGAAGAAAGAAGGAGGAGATAAGGAGAACAGTTTTCCTCTTCAAATCAAAAAGAAAAGTTTTTAAGTATTGGAATACAATCTAAAGATAATTTAGTTCATTCACATTAGTAATGTGCATGTTTCAAATTTTAAAAATCTAGTCTCATTACAAATTGGTACACTTTTATGTGTTATGTCAAGCAATTTTTAATAATTTTGATGTTATTAAAACGTGAACTAAAAGAAACTGAAAGGTAGTGAGATAACTGTGTAAATCCAGCTAAATTATTTTATCAAGTCCGGTTAATCTTGTTCTATGATGTTTTATAACTATCATTTAGAAAATCAGGTATTTCTATCTATACCTATGATTAAAAGAACAGCTTAGAGCTAAAATAATTTAACTATCACTCATGAAAATGACCAAAATTGTTAACTAAGTTATTTGAAGTTACTGTTTTAAAGCTACGACTGAGAAATTGCAACTTTATATAAAGAATTTCTAATAATTGGCTTTTTCACCAAGACAAGTTTAAACGTGGGAAAGAAAGGATGTTAAGTAAAATTTCTTATATATGTGAGTCCTAGTAAATCTTTATTGATTATTGCACTTCTATGAAAATAATTAACTGTATCTGGCTTTAAGCCATAATCAGTGAAACTTACTGCTTGAGGTAAAAGACTCTTAGAACTATAATTAACTTTGCTTTGAGTTTGAATTTGGATATGGTGGTCTCATTAAATCAATATTTCCCATTTTCCCTATTATGATCCTTTAAGGAGGAATGTTTCTTACCATGTGCCGAAATTTTTTTTCATCACACTATTAAACTTGTTAGTCAGAAATATTCCCAGACAAAAATAATTTATTGTATGGATGATAAACTTTGCAGTTGTCCTACTACCACCAAACTTTCCTTATTAATGCCCAAGTTTTAACAAGCTTTTCAGTCAACAAGCCTTTCAGTCTCATAGATTTATAATTACCCCTGAAAGGGTACAGAGGGTGTCACCCTTTGCTTACTTTGGGTGTATTGTTCTGCAGTCTGCAGGTATACCACCAAAATGTTACAAATTAATCAAGATTCCTTGATAATTTTTAATAATTTTCACATGACTTTTTCGATATTAATTACTTTTAGCTTGCCTAATAAATCACCACTAATCAATTATTTTAAGATGAAGTTAAACTACTAGGATAACAGATAGCTAAAACTCAATTCATTTCCCCTTAATTTGTGGGCATGATATTTTACATTTACTGAGAGCTGTTATTTTCTCCCACCCACTGTTTGTGCTTTTTCTATCCATAAAACTGACAAAATACAAAATGAAATCCAATGAACTTGTTTGGGTTCCTTAAAATTCACCTGTTTTTATTATTGCAAAGAAGTCAGGAAAATTAATGATGCTTTATGACTTCCTAGCCTTTGATAGTTATTGATTTAAAAGATTGCTTTTTTACTATTCCATTACAAAAAGCTAAAAATGATACATTACATGGATGACATTTTATGTGCTCATCCCAATCCTGAAGTGTTGGAAGAAATCTTGTTAAAAATACAAAATTTGTTGCAAAGTCATGGGCTTCAAATAGCCCCAGAAAAAATTCAAAAACTTCCTCCATATCAATATTTAGGTCACCAGATACTTCAAGAAAAAATAGTTCTATATCCTCCAAAAATAGACCTACAAAAGTTGAAAACACTTAATGATTTTCAGAAACTTATAGGAGATATACAGTGGCTTCAGTCACAGATAGGCATTCCAAATTATGAATTGATACCTTTATATGATTGCCTTAGAGGTGATCCTCAATTAGATTCACCCCAATACTGACCCCTGAGGCAAACACACATTGCGTATATTCAGGAACAAGTAGTTGGAGCACACACAAAGGATTGATAGGCATGAAAGTGTGGAGGCTTCTATATTTAACACTCCAAATTCTCCAACAGCAGTGATACATCAGAAACAAAGGCTTTTTAGAATGAGTATATTTACCATCTCAGCCAAAAATACTTTAAGTAATTATATGGCCTTGATAGGGGACTTAATACATAAAATTGACAACAAGTGTTTAACATTATGTGGCACACATCCGGAAGTCATACACCTTCCATTTTCTCAACAAATGATTGAAACAGCAATACAAACAATGCCTAACTGGCAAGTGAATATCAATTTGAAACTTGTGTATGGAAAACCCTTTAAATATCATGCAATCTTTGAGAATTGGCCTTGGATACAATCTACACTTAACAGCAGGTGAACACGTACACAGGATTAATGTCTTTACTAATGCCACAAAGATGAGTAAGGCCTCTGTCTGGTTCCCTAAAAGAAAGGAGTTACATGTGATTGAAACACACTTTATATCCACACAACAGAATGAATTATATATATGCTGTCTATTGTGCATTTCAAAAATATGAGGAGCCAATGAATATTAGCACAGATAGTAAATATGTTGAAGGAATTCTAAAACATCTAGAGACTGCTGTAATAAAAAATACTGGAAACAATATATGTCAGCTGCTTAATGATATACAACTTATGATACAGAATAGGACAGAAAAATTTTGTTTTGCATGTTCGTTCCCACACTCTTGCCCCAGGACCAATTTTTGAAGGTAATGATATTGTTGATAGGTCTTTAACAATGAATGTGGAAATAGCAAGGAATAGTCATAATAAGTTACATTTATCTGCTAGGTCTTTAAGAACTTTGTATGGCATAACAAAATCACAAGCACGTGAAACTGTTAAGCGCTGTGCTACCTGTGTGCCTTTTCAACCCCCTTTCCATGTTGACATCCATAACCCCAAGGCACTTACACCTAACACCTTATGGCAAATGGATGTTATTCATTATTCTCCTTTTGGAAGACAAAAGTATGTTCATGTTTCTATTGATACTTATTCAGGCTTTATTTTTGTTACTGCTCAAGCGGGTGGGGCTCTTTGCAATGTTGTTAATCATTTGCTTCATTGTTTTTCCTTCACTGGCCCACCTCAATGCTTAAAGACTGATAATGGTCCTGCATATATTTCGCAGGGTTTTAAAAAGTTTTGTACTGAGTTCTCTATTAGTCACACTACTAGCCCTCCCTATAATCCTCGTGGTGAGGCCATAGTTGAACGTGCCAATCGTACCTTGAAAATGGTGCTCCAAAAACAAAAAGGGGGAGCTAAGGGATCCCCTTGGCATCAATTGAACACTGCGCTCTATACTATAAATTATTCAAAATTCGATAGTTGTAACCTCTCCCCT